CAAGCTTAATTTTATATTATAGCACACTCTTATTCTTTTAAGAAACACCCAACTAAATAAGTCTATTGACCTCCTTTGTGAAGGATGTGATGTGAGGAATCCTTCTGTTTTATTGGAGGAATAGAGAAGGAAAAGCTGCACTGCATATTTCAGCAGTTTACATTGTAACTCAGACATCTCCTTGGTAGTTTTTGGAGTTTTTCTCTGTAAGTCTATTTAGAAGTATTTTTTTTCCATTGATGGCTTACGCTGAATTTTTGATCCTTTGTGGCATGCTACTAACTTCAAAGTAGTTAGTTTTTAAAACAAAAACGTGCTAACAGACTGTGGTACTAGAAAGAGATTCATAAAGGACTCTTGCCTGGCAAGAGATTTCTCATCACTCTTCTCTTGAAATCATGCCAAGTTCAAGCAGTTCAAAAATAGTAATTTATTATTTGTTTTACAAAGCCTAGTCTACTTCTAACACATGCAAATGTTTCAGGTTTTGTTTGTTGTGGGGTTTTTTATGTTTAGTAGGTAAATCTCTTAATCATGGATATGAAATGCATGTAATATTTAGTCTTTTAGAACTCCAGGAAAAAATGCAGACAAGATATGTCTTTGCATATATACAAGTTGTCAGATGAAAATTTTCACTCACTGTTTCATCTTACAATTCATTGTGGAATCTTATGGGAGACAGAAGGAGTGTGAGATGCTTCTGATGACATCCAAAAATATCCTGGCTAGTCTTTGAGACTGTTCCTTAAATAGTCTCTTCAAATACTCAAGTCCTCATGCTGTTTATTGCACTTCTGTGGCTTACACAGCATAATAAAGTCCTCCAAACTAATGGACCACAGCGTGGCGCTCTGGAGCCACTACAGGAGGCAGCAAGGCATAAAGGAATTTGGGCTCTTCTCTCCACTCTGGCTTGCCTTGGGATCTCTGAGGGCCAGTCTGGATGAAGTGAAGACACATGCACTAGTTCCCTATCACTTGTTTAGTCTAAGTTGCATCACCTATTTATTTATTGCCAGCTTTCAGTGGAGATGCCTGTAACAGCAGTGTTTATGCAGACTGGCTTTTTCTAGTGCATTTGAAATAGTCACTTTTCATATGTATGGACCATGGACTACTTTTCCAACACACTGCTAGTGATATTTTGGAGACTTGACATGACTGAAGCTTTTGATGGTGTTGTTTTGTTGATTTCTTTTTTGGCTTTGTTTTGCCAATGCCTTTCACATATATTGAAACAAGTAAACTCTGTTTGTTTAGGATGCATGTCAGACCCATCAAGTGATACATTAATGTAATGGTCTGTTTCAGCATAATAATGTTGAATATTTGATAAGACACTTGCTTAATGCACATTTTTTCCTTGGCAGGTTGAATGGGAAGGAGCACAGTGTTTTCACAGGAGTGGCTATTATCCACTGCCGCAGTACAGGTATGTGTGTCATTTTATTAAAACTCAGTCTTTGCCTTAAAAGTTATTCTCACAATGACTTGTACAAGTGAAGAAACAAGATCAAAATGTTTTCTATACAGTCTAAATTGGTTTTCTACTCCAGATAAGAACTACCGTATCAAAATATAAATTAAAAACTCCCTACAAAAGCCAATCTTCTTTCTGTATTCAGTTTCACACAGGAAGAAGGGTGACAAAACACAAAGTTTTAGAAATATTGTCTCTGAAAGCTATGAGACTAATTGAAAAACCTGTGTAAATTGTGTTAATATTCTAAATGAAATTCAAGTAAGGCACTACAAACTGCAAGAGTGAGCAGAATCTGATCCATGTTACCTTTATTCCTGTGTTTTGTTTACACCATCTGATAAATACAAGTGTCTGTATCTGTTGCTGGATCTGTAGTTACTTCATTTTTCAGTAAATAAGGGAAACTTCAGAGCCATTTTTAAGGCATGAGTACAGTAATGGCTTAATGCCTTATAGTGTTAAAGAACTGCAGGGAGCGATACATCAATGTTCTTTATCAGATAATTTATAGAGTAATCAAGTGCTTTTTATGGAGACTGTACCATTAACAGAATTTGAAGAGTGTTTGAAGGGCATCAGCTGATAATTATGCCAATATTCTTTTAGTAGAGCTTTTGCAGGGATCATTTCCCTGACATTTCACTGGACATAGTCTTTTTGTAGACATTATTTACAGTTTCAAATCTTTTCTGGAATGATTGCTCATAACTCTCTTAAAATAGAAATAGTCAGTGATCCTGTAGCCTGGCTTATATGCTAGTACACAGAAATTCTGAGAGTTGCTGCAAAAAATAAACACATTATCAAGAGGTTCCTGTGACCAATCCAGCAACAATAATAATGTCTTTAATTGTTTACTCTAGGAAGAAAGTTAAAGTGCACACAGCTGTAGTACTGATGCTACAACAGCACATCTCATTTGAAGTTTACAAATTTAAGCCACATCATATTCAGATGAATAAAAATACCATAAGTCTGCATATTCCTCAAGTGATGCAATAAATGAGAGAGTTTTCTAGAATACATTTTTAGTTACAGTTTATACTTACATAGTGTTTGTTAACTTACTACAGATGGAATTTTCCTCTTGAGCTGATGGAGTTTTTTATCAATACTGAAAGATTTAATAATCTGCCTTCATATCAACAATTTTCATATTTCATCTGGTTCATTAAATGTTGATTTATTTTTTTTCCACACTAACTCCATTCCAAACTGGTTAGTATTCTTCCCTTGGTCTGTACTATACATCTTTCTTACTCTTCTTCAAGCATTTCCACTGCTACCAGAACTGTGGTAACTGCAGATGCTGATCTTGGTATTTATAGCAAAGAGTAGAGAGGACTTGCAATCCATAGTGTGCACACTCATTCGTGCAAGGGTGTTTCCTTTTCAATGTGTTTTGGAAAAGCCTCTGTCTGGAATGGTACCAGATTCACAGTGTACCACATGCAGCAGGGTCCATGCCCAGGTGTGCAGTACTTCAGTGCACCTTTCACTGACCCCTTCCGGGTCAGAAATAATCTTGTCATTTCTTGAGAGATGACAGGAAAATAACAATGATGGTGACTGATGGAACTGCTGGATACCTGAGCCTGCGGTGCAGGTGCAGCTGCACATTCACACTTTTATGACAGCTACATGTTGAGCTATGGTGTGTTGATAAGAGTTCTTTGACAACAGTCATAAAGTTAGAAGGGTGGTTGTACTCTGTGCTGGATGTGTGTGCCAGCAGTCCATAAATAGCTCTGTGTAAGCGTTGTTAATTTAAGAATACATCCCACACAGGAAGAACAATCTGTTAGCTCCAAGACAGGACTGCAGAGGTTGAAAATGCAAGGTTTTACTGGTTTGGAACAGTTGAGTCCACTGTCTCTAAAGAACATGATTAGTCATTTCATACATCTGTGTAATTAATTTTTCCCAAGCAAAACTGTCAAATGGTTATGAAATAAAAATTAGACATTATGGTATCTAAACTGTAATTCCTGTTTCTAATAAGAACTATTCTTTCTGTAGGAAATCAGCTAGAGATGGAAATCACTGATTTCTATGAAGAGACTAAAGTAAAATTTTCTGAGCTGTCTGAAGAGCTCTTGTGGGAGTACATTCATAGTGGGGAGCCAATGTAAGTAAAACCCTAATGCTTTCACACAGCACTTGAGAATAGGCCTTAGGGTACCTTATTAAGCCACCAGTGTAAAACATTCTGTCCTGTGTTCTGTGAAATTGTGCTGTGTGTATATGATAAATGATAGCATGGGTGATGCAAGGTGAGTGTTCTGTTCTTGTCTAGAGCTGTCATTTCCCCAGGGGACGTGAGCTACCTATTTGGAACCCTAGCAAACAACTGCACGAGGTTCAGTAACGCTCAGTGCTGTGTCCTGCACTTGGGATACAATAGCCCCATGCAGCACTACAGCCTGGGGGAGGAGTGGCTTGAGGGTTGTTCATCAGAAAGGGACTTGGGAGTGCTGGTGACAGCAGTTCAGTATGAGCCAAGAGTGTGCACAGGTGGCCAAGAAAGCCAATGGCATCTTGGCCTTGATCAAGAATAGTGTGGCCAGTAGGACTAGGGCAGTGGTCATCCCCCTGTACTCGGCATTGGTGTGGTCATACCTCGAGTACTGTGTTCAGTTCTGGGCCCCTCACTTTAAAAAGGACATTGAGGCACTGGAGTGAGTCCAACCAAGGGCAATGAGGCTCATAAAAGGTCTGGAAAACATGTGGTATGAGGAACAACTGACAGAATTGGGTTTGTTTAGCCTTGAGAAGAGGCAGCTCAGGGATGACCTCATGGCTCTCTACAACTACCTGAAAGGGGTGGCAGAGAGGTGGGGGATGGTCTCTCCTGCCATGGCTGCAGGGAGAAGACTAGAGAGAAGAGCCATAAGTGGGGACAGGGCAGAGTCAGAGGAGATGTTAGGAGAAATGTTTTCCCTGTGAGGGTGTTCCGGC